ACCTGCTCCGCCGACGCCATGTCGTTGTTGTTGTTGTGGCTGTTATTGTTCCCCGAGGTGTGGTCTTCGCTGTCTGTCTCGTCCACAGACTCCTGACCCCAGTGACCTTTGACCTCGGAAGGGTCAGCGACACCGTCGTTCCGGGGAGTTGGCGTGGCCGGCTCCCAAGCCAGCCTGTTGCTCATTGGCTTATCCTGGTCACGTGCGCTGTCCTTTGCCCCAGCTGTATCTCTGGCGTTGGGCCCCGGTGACGCGGGCTCCCAGTCTAGCGTGTTCTTCATGGGGCTCTTCTCTCCTCCTTTGTTCTCGTCTGTCTTCTCCGTCGGGCTGGTTCTCCGGGACATATTCTGTCCGCCGTCGTTCTCCGCCTGACTGTTCTTTCGGGACATGCGACTCACGCTCTTTACAGGGCTGTTCTTTCTGGAGTTTTGGCCCGTCTTGTCCGCTGCTGGGGTGTTTCTTTGAGAGGCGTGATCTCCGTTCTCCGCGAGACTGTTCTTCCGAGACATTCGCTGCACGCTCTTTGTGGGGCTGTTATTTCTCGAGGTTTGGTCGGCGGCGTTCTTCGCGAGACTGTTCTTGCGGGAATTGGGAACCCCGGAGTTGTTCATCGGGGTATTCTTTCCGGACACTTGACTCGGCGCTTCTGTCATAGACTCTGGTCTCCGCTCGTTTTCTCTCACGCTGTCGAGCTCGGCTGACATCTCGCTGTCGGGCTGCGGCGGGCGGGCGCCCTTGAACGACGCCTCCGTGGCTCTGTCGTGGGGGCTGAAGGTCCGGGCGCCGCTAGGCGTCCTCTCCACAGCCGGGCTCAACCCTCCGTCCCTCGGGTTCGGCGGCGTCCGTCTCAGTCTGGACTCTCCTCCTCTCTCGCCTTCTTTAGCATAATCACCACCACCATCACCATCATCATCCTTCTTCCGTGGGTTTGGGAAGTCGCCCTCCTTCTTGTCTCCCACCGCTCCTACCCCTCCTCCTCCTCCTCCCCAGCCTCCTTCGTCGTCGTTGTCCTTGTCTCCCACTCCTCCTCCTCCTCCCTTCTGTCCTTGTCCTTTCTCGTCGTAAGAACCGTAGGCCAGAGAGCTGAGAAGATTCCAATCCGCTTGACCCGCCTGACTGTCCCCTCCCTCGGAGACGGTGTCTAACGGCCGGCCCGTTCCTTTACCGTACCCCCCAACAGACCCGTCGCCGCCTGCTGGGCCGGCTGACTTCTTCGAGTACTTGGCGGCGTAACCGTCGTGCACGGGTTCGGCCGAGTCCAGGTCAGCGCGCGTGTCTGGGAGCCGGAAGGAGCTCCTGCCGTAAGGGATGTCCTGTGTGATGTCATGAGCCATGAAGTCGTCCATGAAGTTGGGGTCGGTGTCCGGACGCGCGTACAGGGGCATGGTGGAGTGCATGCCTGAGTGCATGCCCACCTGGCTCTTCAACCTGTTCACCTGGATCTGGAGATCCTCAATGCCACTTAAACGCTGAAAAGTTGAAGCAAGTTTCAGAAATACGGGGTGAGTGAAGAGAAGCACACAGACTCAAACGCGATCTCTTAGTCCATTAAAAAAAACAAGATAGAAAGACAGTCAGACAGGCAGACGTAACAGAGTGAAAGAGAAGAAACAGCACGTACCAGTGGTGCCCTTTAACCACTGGTAGAAACGCAATGATAGATGAAATGACTGGTGCGAAATTGCCTTTAAAATGGTCAAACTGGCGGAAACGACTGTGGAAAAGGCAGCAAAATTATCAAAAAAAAATGCAGCAATAAATAACAAACACTGTGTAATTTTCATAACACCTGCAGCGACGAATCTGTTAAAATACAAAGAGGAGGGGTTGGGGGGGTGGGGTGACCAAGGCAGACACATGCATAGAACTTGGAAAATACCGCACAAAATCCATCCATTCATTAACACCGGGCTATATTTGACATCGTTGTGAACAAAAAGAGAAACTGCAATATTTGCGTCTGCTTCCTGTTGAAGTTATATTTATGTCCTTTCACTTTTAGACGCAAAACTGCTATGTTTTCAACACTGGAGCACCTGTGTAGATTAATATCATCTGTACGATGAGCTAAGTATAAATATTTCAGCCATGATGTGTTTCCCGACCTCATTACTACTTTAGGGACGAAGCCGACACAGACTACATAATAATATTATGTCCGATCAGAAGTAAGCCAAAAACAACGTTGAGCCCTTTTTCAAAATCATATCTCACTAACTAGAAGCACAACATTTCACAATTCCAGAGTGTGCATGTTGTTGTTTGTTTTGTTTTTGTTTTGTTTTGGCTGTTATCTTTTAACGGTTCAGATGACCAAAAAATATTTTAAAAACAACAACTGAAAGACCTGCATGAATAAAAAAGACATATTTCAACACCGGGGCATCTTCAGGCGTTGTCGAATGACAAGAGTGTACAACCTCAAAGAGGTAAGGCAACAAACAGACAGGTGTACATTCAGAGGTGCACCACAAGTAGGTTGAATTATTCGTATTTTGTAGCTAACCGGAAAGCAGGTGGGCTAGTGGCCAGGTGGGTAGGAGAGCAGGTAGGTAGGTAGGTGTGAATGTGTGTGTGTATGGGAATGGGTGTGCAATTTTTTAACGAAGAGAGGATATGTGGGTGTGGGTGTGTGCTGTAAAGCAACGGGTCACCATCTGGAAACGTATTCGACGATCAAGAAATTGCTAACAAAAACAGGAAGCAGTAGCCACGAGTAGCAGCTGATTGTACATGAACAATAATTTAGGACCCGGATTATGTTTAACGAGATAGATCCAGAAGATTCAGTCACGCCGTGGATAATTAAGTTGGCGGTTTGACCGCTCACGTTACTAAATACATGCACGTGCACAATCACCTGTCGCAAAACTTGGAGGCAGCAGTACGGGTTAACGATTAGCTCTCTGATCTTGACATTATTCAGCCCAGAACGACTTCTTCTGGTTAGTCTCGCTGATGATGTCGACACAACATGGCACGTGTGTGCCTCGTACCGCGGAGAGAGCGAGAGAGTGGGCGGATTTGTGCAAACTGATAAATCATCATCATCATCATCATCGGTGCCTTTCACCCCTAGTAGGGTATAGGCCATATACAAGCTCCTTCCATTTATCTCTGTCCTGGGCCATCCTCCCTTGCTCGTTCCAAGTGAGCTTCATCTCTCTCATGTCCCTTTCCACACATCTCCTCCATGTTTCCCGTGGCCTACCCCTGCTTCGTGCTCCCTGTGGGTTCTATCGCAGTGACTGTCTTGTGATGTTTCCGCAGGGCTTTCTGAAGGTGTGTCCAATCCATCGCCACTTTCTTAGTCCTATTTCCACTTCTATATCCTTTTGTCCTGTCCTTTCCCATTGCTCTTCATTTCTTATTCTATCCTGCCACTTAATTCTTAGGACACTCCTCATACATCAGCTGATGAAAGTCTGGAGACATAAATTCACTGAGAACTCGCACACTAAGCACCACGTGAAGATGCGCTGTTTTGGGCCACTTAAAAAAAAAGAAGCATAATAAGTTCTTTCTTCTTAATACAGATTTTCAACAGGTATTTAAATTTACTTTACGGTTGGCGGGTGCTCTAGTGTGGTTTGCTCCTTCGTTCCTATCAAACATCTATCGTCCTGATCTCTCCTCCTCCTTTTTTTTCGTGTCTGTTACTCTCTTGTACCACCTCTAATCTTCGGCACTTATTTGACCTAATTGTGTTGCAAATACCGTAAAAGTCTGACTAAAACTACTAAACCAAAAGTGTATTTTCCTTCATCTGGAGCTTAAAAGGTAGACAACAGCATGCATACCGTGAACAGTACAAATATCTGTTTCTGGTTTGTACGCTACCTTAGAATTACAAAGTTCTATCTGACATTTTGGCGGTTTAGAGTTACAACGATCATGGGGTCAGATACCAACTAAAATGAGACACGACACGGTGGAATCAGGCGCTCGTCAGTTTTGGGGCATCTTGAATTATTGGTGTAATCTTAAAGCCTGCTCATTTGCCTTGCTTTAATGAAAAAAAAAATCCATTTATTTGGAACAGAAGTTGAGAAATTTGCGAATGAAAGAGGTGAAGGTCACTTGGCATCACGGGTAAAATTAGCGAGAAAATGGCCAGCAACCTTTGGTGCTTTCCAAAACTTGAGTGTCCTTGGAAACCGCGAAATTTACATTTTTCGTGCCTTTCGTCAATGTTCCTCAATAAAATCCACAAAGATATGCGTTTTAAATGGACATAAAAGGTGATGAGCCAAAAACCTGAAATTCATTTTTTTTTAAAATAGCCAAATCGGCGGGAAAGCACTGGTCTCTCCGATTTTATTATTTTGACGAGTGCCTGATTTCCCCATGATGCCTCTCAAATAATGTTCTGTCAGCTCTATCGGTATCGTAAGATTATCCAGAATGGTAATCAAAATGTGTGCGGCATAGCGGTGAAATCTGACACTCGTCAAAATAAAGAAATCCAAGAAACAGGCACATTTCCACCAACTTGGCAATTTTTTTATCAATTTTATGTTTTGGGGGCTCAACGCCTTTTTTCCGTTTAATAGCACATTCCATGTGAATTTTTTTGAAAAACGTTGATTAACGGCACAAAATATGTACATTTTCAGTTTTCTAGGCCTCTGAAGCCATCGAAGTTACCAAACTTTACCTCTGAACCCAGGTGTCCCCCATCTTCTTCCATCACAAATATCTCGAGTTCAGTTCCAAATAGAAAGATACTTTTCATCAAAAGCAAAGCAAAGCAACAAGCTTTCGGAAGACACCAATAACTCCACATACCCAAAAATTGACGAGCGCCTGGTTCAACTGCGTCGTGACACATATTCTAAGAATTGCATTCTAAAAAGCTTGACATGATGTGAAACAAAAAATCTTTGACGTCAAATTTCTCAAAACTAGGGAACTGAGGGGATAGAACTTCGTAATTCTGAGGAAGCGTAGAATAGTACGATGGTTCCAGATGACCCACAGCATTGGTCTCCGCACTGCTACTGATGGGACAGGGGTGCTCAATTCGTCCTTTACGAGTTAGAAAAAGTTCGTCTCATAAGAGTTTAAAAAATCGCCCTTCAAGAGATAAAAAATGGTCCTTTAAGAGTTTTAAAAGTTCTTCCTTCAAGAGTTAAAATATTCGTATTCAAGAGTTTAAAAAATACGTCCTTTAGGAGTTACAAAATTCGTCTTTCAAGAGTTATAAAACTCGTCCACTAAGAGTTTAAAAATTCGTCCTTCAAAAATTAAAAAATTCGTCCATTAAGAGTTTAAAAAATTCGTCCTTCAAGAGTTGAAAAAGACATCACAACACCTGCTGCGGACCAGCCTCCCTTTCTTCTCTGGCGTATTTTGGCCTGAGTGAAGTAAGATCCCTGGATGGTTAATTCAAAAGAGACAATTCCTTTATTTTCCCTTTCTTGACAAAGGGGGGGGGGAGAGACATTCAAGAGCTCTTCGTCGTACAAAAGAGCTGCGGGTAGGCTGACATTTGTTCCTCTTTTCCATGTCCATCCCTTTCTAAGCAGCCTTCGTTTACGCTACAGTTCGACATGTTGACTCCATTGACCTTTTAATAGTGCTTTTCCATTTCTCCTTTCCTATCTCCATGTCGATGGACTGGTCACATTTTGCTAGTATTTTTACTCTTGTTTCCTTATCGGGGAGGGGTGATCTGTGATTAACCCTATCCGTACCCCCTGGGGTCATTTTGTACCCCCGGAGTTGTATTCTTCACATTTTAGAATACTTCTGGTACGAAGATCTCTTTGAAACTTTCGACAGTATTTCTCAAAAAATCATTTTGCTATGCAAAGCGTACGAATCGGATTAACGAGTATATTTCCTCTTTGGAAAGTGGTGGCAGAGAGTTCCTCACGTCGTAAAGATACGATAGTAAAACACGACGTACGGATAGGGTCAAACATAATTCTGCGTTGTCGGCTCTTCTGTCTTTCAGCACAGCTATTCTTGCATTAGACTATTTTGTACGTGCGACGTCTGATGATTTCGGAGGTTTGAGACAGTCAAAATTTTCCAAATTTTCCACACACTAAATTTCTCGGGAGGGGGCTAATTTACTTTTCTCTGTCTCTGTCTCTGTCTCTGTCTCTGTCTCTCTCTCTCTCTCTCTCTCTCTCTCTCTGTCTGTCTCTCTCCCTTCCTCTCTGCCTTTCTCTCTCTCTGTCTCTCTCTCTCCCTCCCTCCCTCTCTCTATATCCCTCCTCTCTCACCCTCTCTCTCCCTCTCTCACCCTCCCCCCCTCCTCTTTTTCTTTCTTTCGTTTTTTTTTTTTGGGGGGGTCAAACTCTATTCTACACAATGAAGAGAAGAATCTTGCTGGCCTGGTAAGACTTACTAAGAGTGCAATTATCGGGTAGTTTCCTCAAGCATCGCCCCCGTCCGTCTCAAGTAACAAGACGACTCTTGCATTGTCCAATTTCAGTAAGCGTCTGATCATGTTCCGGAG